TTTGTGGATGTTTTTGTTTCAGTTTGTATGGGTACTGAACCAGAGATTCTGGTGCTGTGAAGGCTAGACATGCCCTTCAAGCTTTAGTATCTGTGGCTAGGGCTTTTCACTAAAAAGAAATCTGCTAAAAGTGAGATCAGAATATGGTACTATTCTATGGAAGGAGAGGAAAAGCATGTGAATTGGTCTAAATCTGTCCCAAATGTTAAAATTAATGAAAATAGTCTAATTGGTTTGCTTAAAGTTTGCTATTCAGTTCAGAAAATTACTGTTGCTCTGGCATTCATGTCAATTTGGAAAATCACATCAGTTCAGAAAAAGTGCCTCTGCAAATATGCAAAAACTTATAAATCTGCTAAATTGGTTCAAATCTTTCTAAATCAATTCAGAAGGGTCAAATTCATCCTGGTAACTGATTTGGAGATTCAGTTCAGAAAGCCAATTTGATTAGAAAATTAGATTGAACAGCTGTTTAATCAAACCTTTGAACTGAATAGTCACTATTTTCCAGAGGGCACATTAAATCTCTCTATCCATACCATATCACAATTCAACAATAGTCCCCTTATCACTGCCCTTTTCATAAGCTAGTGTTACTTTTCAGAAATGCTTTCTTTGGTGATGATAGGAATATTTACCAATGATCTGCATAACCCTAGCTGCTTAGGCAACAAAGCAATGTCACTTCCTGCATTGTGCTTATGCACAATTTAGGAAGAATGGCAAATTTTCTCAGCAAAGAGGGAACACTTCCTCTCTCCTCTTTAGTCCTTCTACTGATGGGAGTTCTGTTTCATTGATCCATGTTGATGATATATTGCCAAATATGATTTACTTTACAATGCTGTGATACCACCTCTGTCATTACAATTAGTATAATGCAGTGAAGGAGAAAATAGAGGCAGAGGAACAGAGATACAGGGGGAGGAAAAGATAAAGACTCATGATTATAAATTTGCTGAAGCAACTACCTTGGCTCTGCACCATTTCATGGCTTGGTTTTGACCCAGAAGGACCAGAATTTCTGGCAGATGCCTTCAACATTGCAGAGTACAGAATAACAGTTGGAACGGAAGTTGGAGGTCTTCTAGTTAAATCCTCTGCTCAAGCAGGAGACATTTTATCATTCCTTAAAAATGACTGTACAATCTCTTCTTAAAAACCTCCATTGATGGAGTACCCACAACTTCTGGAGGCAAGCCATTCCATTGATGAATCATCAAGAACTTTCTCCTTAGTTCTAGGTTCAATCTCTCCTTGATAGGTTTCCATCCATTACTTCTTGTCCTGCCCTCAGGTGCTTTAAAGAATAGGTTGATCCAGTGGTGGAATTCAAATACCTGAATAACTGATTCTCTTATTTGATGCAGGCCTGGGTCTCTGAGGCCTAGAACGGCCTTCCAGAAGTGGCATCCGTGCATTTCCGGTGGCTGTTCCAGGCCTGGGAGGCCTCCTCCAGTCCTCCGAGGCCTATAATCGACTTCCGGAAGTGGCATCCACACATTTCTGGTGGTCCATTCTAGCCCTGAGAGGCCTCCTCCAGACCTCTAAGGCCTGAACTGGGCTTCTGGAAGCCAGCTAGTTCTCTGAATGCTGCAAAATTTAACTACTGGTTCTACCAAATCGGTGCGAATCAGCTGAATCCCACCACTGGGTTGATCCCATTCTCTGTAACAGCCCCTCAAATATTGGAAGACTATTGTGTCCTTCTCTTTGTAAGACTAGACATACCCAGTTCCTGAAACCATTCATCATATGATTTAGCCTCCAGTCTTCTAATCATCTGTGTTGCTCTTCTCTGCACTCTTTCTAGACTGAGTCTCAACATCTTTTTTATACTGCAGTAACCAAAACTGGATGCAATATTCCAAGTGTGGCTTTATCAAGGCATTTTAAAGCAATACTAACACTTCATGTGACCTTGGTACTATCCTTCTGTTGATGCAGCCTAGGACTTCCTTCCATGTACGGTAGATGCAGTTGCACTGAGAACTACACATTGTGTGAAGTTGGTCAGCCAGTTACGAATCCCTCTGGCGGTGATATTGCTTATCCCACCATTTTTCTATCTTATCAAGAAGTAGGCTGTGGTCTACTTTGTCAAATGCCTTATTGAAATCCAAGTATACTATGTCCAAAGCATTTCATTTGTCCACTAATTGGTCCACTAATGGACAATTTTGTCATTTTGTCAAAGAATGCAATAAGGTTTGTCTGGCATGATCTGTTTTTAACAAACCCATATTGGCTTCTAGTAATAGTTTTACTTGTTTCTAGTGTTTGAAGAGCTGTTGCTTGATTATCTTTTTCAGGATCTTTTCGGGTATTGATATCAGGCTGATTGGTGTGTAGTTTCCTGGATCCATGTTTGCGGACTTGGTTCATCACTTTGTCCCTGGAAGAAAGTCAAATGTCAAGACTCACTGAATATCAGGTTTTTTTTTTTTCTTTTCTGAAAAGAACCTTCATTGTGATAGCACCTGGACTTTAGAATGGTCTTCTTGTTATAAAGTGAATATGAGTATGTTTTCTGGGCTCCAAGTGACGACTCCTTGCTTCCCTAAGCCATCCATGGCCTTGGGGGGTTTATTCCCTTCTTTTAAGAAGAAAGTTTTCCTTCATCTTTTAAATGTGCTTTTGTGCTGCATTAATTAAGATTAAGTTAATAACTGGATTGTAAACTGCTTTGCAAGAGAGTGTAGGACTAAATTAAATGATAAACACCAACTTAAATAATGCACCAGAAAGCAAATAAAAACACCCGAAGGGGATACATTTCAGAGATATTCAGGGTAATTCGAAATATTGCATTTGTTCATATTTTACTTCTTTGTCCTTTTCACCTGTGGCAATTCCATTTTATTATTTTTGAAAATTAATGTGTCCAAATATAGCCAAATACAGCTTGCATGATGACTTACACTCCTGCAATAGACATTCCACTTTTTTCCAAGTCATAAGGAAAGGCAACAATATCCAAATGGTGACTGAAGAGGTGACTCAAGAAAGTGAGCCAAGTTATGTGTGTTATATAGGGTTTGAAGGATGTTGTGGGGGATGCGCATCTCCTGGGGTTACTTCATTAGTTACATATAAGGTAATCAACTGATCAGAAAAAAAAAGTTAAACTCTCTTTCTGTGCTTTTAACCTTAGTCACTGTGCTATATTCCAACGTATTGTAGGCAAAAGCATCATCACAGACACTGCCTAATCACTGCAAATTAAGTCAGTGTCAGGACCAGAATTGGGGAGAAAGAAATGGGGCCCTATTTATAGCCATTTTTAGCTTTGCTTCTACTTCTGATTCTTTTCTTTAAGTTCAGTACCCACGCATACAGAAAAGAGATACGATATAGATCTTGTATTATTTTGTACGGTGGTAAATCAATAAGGACAGTTTCTCTTGCTTAATTTTACTGTGTCAGCTGCTATTAAAGGCACAGGAGAAGGAAAAGAAGAATGGCAGCCTTGATTTCTTCAGTCTTTTTTAAGGGAAAAGAAGCCAAAATCTTAACATGTATCAGACATTAGTCAAAGAAAGCCTCCCACGCCCACCTAAAAAAAAAAAAAATCAAATCTGTCTTGAAATGGGAACACGGTTCTAGGTTTGCTAAGAATATAGAAGTGAAAGCAGGTATTTTTTTTTCTCTCTAAAGTTCTTTAATGGGGGGTTGCTTACATTCAGGCTCCCATTTCTTCTCAGATAAATATCATAACTGAAAAGGTACCCTTACATCAGAATTCTCTTTATTTCTGAGAAATGAGATATCTAACCATCATTGCTTACCTGTATTCTAATTTCAAAGAGTGATCAGATCTGAGTTGTGTGCATTCAGCCACAGGATGGCAGCGAAAAGCTACAGAACACCCAGACTCTTTGCTGCCCTCTAATGTTTGGGTAAAGATATGCACCCCAAATCTGACAGTTTCATGAGCAGCTGAAAGGAGGCTGTGGGGTGAGGGGTGGGGAAGCAACATGAGACCTGGGTTCCTTTCTGTCCCCCCAAAAGGCAAACCTGAGATCATTGCTTCCTCTTGGTTTTCCACAGGTGTGTGAGGAAGCTTTATAAAAGGGAAAATAACAGCTGTCCTTTCTCATTTTTTTTAGTCCTGCAGCTGGGCGGATCGGGTCCTTCACAGTCACCCTCCATGAGTATACAAGTGTCTCCTTTCCGTTGAGCTGGACACCTGGTGACTTCATGGACTCCTGTGCAGGAACATTTGCCCCTGGCTTCTTCTGAGATGCCTTTCAACTTCCAACGTAGCCCTCAGCCTAACTTTCTCAGTTCCCACAGTACTTGGAGAACCTGGGCTGAAACAGGGTTTGGCATTTCGAAGTAAATGGAGCTATTCTCTCTCCTGGTCTTCTTCTTTGCTTCTGGGGCATCTCCTCTTGAACAGCACTCTGATGGGGAAGAAGTTCTGTTGGCTTGGAGACCCAAAGAGGGCTGGGTAAGGGAGGCTTTTCAAACCAACCATGCCCACCACCTCTGGTTTGGCCCAGTGGCTACCCAACGGCAGCCATAGAAAATAAGCAGAAAGACAGGGAGATGCAGCCATTTCCTTCTTTTTCCATCACTCTGTTGGCCTCTCCCATGGGGGGTGGAGGGGGGAACTCTGTTGAAAGAAGGAGGCCAAGTTGCCCCTCAGCTCTTTTTTTCCTTTAAAAGAAGCCAAGCAGTTGAAAGCCACCCTTCAGCATCGTTCTCGGGCTCCCTCCCCCTTCCAAGCTGTCCATTTTTCCCCAGATTTGCCGGTCCAGAAGACACCAGGTTGGAGATGCCCGATGAGGCCCCCCCCCGCCCCCGAAGCGCCTCTGAAGCTGGCATTTTCCCGAGGCCAGAGGCGGCTTTTTTGCAGAGAGAGAGAGAGAGAGAGAGAGAGAGAGAGAGAGAGAGAGAGAGAGAGAGAGAGAGAGCTTGTGCCCGCCCCGCCCTCCCCCTCCGATCACTCTGTTCCCTTTGGGGAAGGGGGCCCAGAGAAGGGAGAGGAGGGGGGAAATCCGGCCCGGGTTTTCCTTCCCGCCCCTCTTCTGTAAACCGGGTTCTGCAATTTGGAGCACGTTTCGCTCGCGCTGCGTGTGCGTCCGCCGCTTTCTCGCCCGCTCGGCTGCTCCCGGTAGCCTTGCGCGCGGCGGAGCGGAGGCTCCCCCCCGGTCTCCTCCTGCGAGAGGTGAGCCTCGTTTCCTTGATGTCCGCCGCTCAACCCGGGCGAAGCGCCGTGGCCGCGCCAGCCAATCCTCGCTTTCCCGCGCGCCGCTTCCTCCCGCTGCCTTCAACCTGAGCGCGGCTCGCGGCTTCTCCTCCCTCGACAGGGCACCCCTGGCCCCGCGGAGCTGGCTTTGAACCCGGGGGGGGGGCGGGGGGGACTTTAACACACCCGCCGGACCGGCCGAGGAAGCCGCGGGAGGAGTGGGCGAAGGGGAGGGAGGCGGTGCCGGCGGCGGCGCCTCTTGTGCCCTGAAGAACCTCAGCCTTCCTTCCCCAGCCCGGCTATACTCAAAGTTTGCGGGGCTCGCTCGAGGAGGTATGCTTGGCGCGTAGACACACGCGGGTGAGGTCTCTGGGAAGGCACTTCGCGCTGGAGGGCTCCGCTCGGCGCTTTTTGGAAGAAGAGGAGGAGGAGGAAGAGGAGGAGGAGGAGGAGGAGGAAGAAGAGGAAGAAGAAGAGGAGGAGGAGGAGGAGGAAAAAGGAGAAGAGGAACCGTTCTCGGGGATTTATTTTTCCAGTGGATTTGGCGTCTCTCCCTGTTTTTCCCAACCAAGCGGGCCGATTCTTTTGGGGGCAAGGTTTTTCTCTTGGAAAGAAATTGTGGGAGCACCATGGTTGCGGGGATGGGGGCGCTGCTTTGGGCTTCCCTCGGGCTGTTGCTGTCACTTCGGGCCGGAGCCGCTGACGTGAAAGCGCGGAGCTGCGGCGAGGTGCGGGAGGCGTACAAAGCGAAAGGCTTCAGCCTGGTTAACATCCCCTATCAGGAAATCGCAGGTAAGGAAGGCATCCGGAGCGCCGGCGGCGAATGGGCGCGGGGCGAAAGTGCTTCTCTTTTGGGTGCCTTTGGCAGCGGCGGCAAGGCTTCTTTTTGGCATCGCCCACCTTCTGGGCTTGACTTTTCCCTGCCTGGAAAAGAGAGCAGCGATGCCTTTTCCCCTCCGAGCTGCGCTTGGGAGCAGTTGAAACCATGAATTGCTTCATTGTGCAATGAATGGAGAATCCTTTTGAAATTTCTAAAGCGACTTTCAGGGGATGAACAAATTGGGAGAGGGAAGAAAGAGGAGAGGCTTGTCAACTTTCTTTCTTTCTTTCTTTCTTTCTTTCTTTCTTTCTTTCTTTCTTTCTTTCTTTCTTTCTTTCTTTCTTTCTTTCTTCCTTCCTTCCTTCCTTCCTTCCTTCCTTCCCTTCTTTTCTTTCTCTTTCCTTTCTTTCTTTCTTTCTTTCTTTCTTTCTTTCTTTCTTTCTTTCTTTCTTTCTTTCTTTCTCTTTCTCTTTCCTTTTTTCCTTCCTTCCTTCCTTCCTTCCTTTCTTTCCTTCCTTCTTCCCAGCAGGGACTTCCCCCCCAAAAAAAAGTTTTTAGTTGACTTCAAAGAATTTAGCAGCTGGAATACAAGTAGTTGTTCCCTTCTACAATCTTGGATAACATGAGTTTAGTATTAATTCATAAGCTCCCAAGATACTATGAAACATATGAATAAAATTCTTCAGCTTGAAACTGGAGGAACCTTATAGGATTCAACTTTTTAGCTGTCTACAACCAGTAACAATTGTTCTTTGCCAGTAGGGTGTGCTCTTTATCATACAGGAGTCCTATTGCCTTCTTTTGGCAAAACACCTGTAAAAGAGGCAGTGCTTTCTATACCTGAGAACGAAAACACCAAACATTAGAAAGTAAAACAAAACAAAACTGGGTAGATAAGTTATTGTGAAGGACATGCCTTTAAATTTTGTGTGTCTCTCTGTGTGTGTTTGTGTGTGTGTCTGTGTGTATGTATAGCCATTGAAATTTCTCTTTTTGCACAATTATGGCACAGTGTGTAAGGTTTCTGGTTTAGGCTGTTCTTTTCAATGTAAGCCAGCTGTGTCAGAGCTGTATTCTTCCTATGTATAGGGACAAGCTTTAAGTCTATTTGGCAACAAGAAATGATAGGAATTGTAGTCCTGTTATACTGTAGTCCCTTTATACCTGAGAGCTGCTGTAGTGCTATCATTATTGTCTCTCCCAGACTTGGTTTAATTAATGCATGACTAAGGGGAAAAAGTTGTATGTGTGAGTGAAAGTGTACTAGAACAAATGGGAGAAACGTGCTGTCCATAATTTTCAAAACTGAATGAAGCCACTCATTGATATTCATTGACTATATGCCAGCTTCCAAAGAGTCTCCTATAGAGATGAATAGTATACTGTAATAATAAAAATGGATGTACCGGTATTAGTCATTTTTAGAGTCCCATTACAATAGAAACAAGCATATGAAATTAAAATGAATTTTACCCTTCTACCTTGCACTGTTCCAGTTTAGTAAATTTCATTTGAAGTGACTTGGGTAAAGTTGTAAGCTGAAGTCCTTTCCCAGATTGAATGTCCACGAGTTTATTTTGAGGATTGAGTTTGATGTGGCATTGATTGTGCAATTCATTCATACTTTAAATAAATAAATAGACCCTTCAGCCCAGACGTTGCTTATTATTTACAATGGAGCAGGGACAAACATTATCTTCTTGAGATATAGCTTAGGGAAGGTTTTTCTTAACATACACAATTAGTCTTCTTTCCCTTCCTTGTAGTGCTAACATTTTCCGGGGTTTTCTCTTGTTATTTTTAAAAATATACAGAAATTGTACCCATATTTGCTGGTGGCCCCTTATAATAAGACCTTTGTATATTTATTGAAACACACTTCCTATTATGAACAATCAAAACAATCCATGCAGTTCTCAGAAAAATGTTATAGCTATGTGCGGTATACTTCTTATGTCCTATTCATAACAGGAGAGAAAATCTCTGGTTTGTGTATTTAAATCTGATATTGAATTGTACAACTTTTCTCAACCAATGGAAGCTGTAGGATTTTCACACAAACTAAGGCTAGAGTTCTGTTTCAAAATTATTGTTTTGTGTATGAGTAGAAACATGGCAGTCATAAATTGTGACTGAGTGCTGAACTGGTCTGACTTGGCATGTGGAGCTGACTTTCAGGTCATTGGTTCAGCCTCTAGCTATATAGATTAAAGTCTGGGTCGACATAATATAAAGCTGTAGCTGGCATAAGCTGAAATGGTTGGATGCATAATGCTTTAACTTCTTTGAGAATAGTTTAAAAGATACAAACCACATCATTTCAAGGGTTTTTTAAAATAAACTATAGGGTAATTTGTTTACTCAGTTCCTAATTGCATTTATATCCTTACATATGTTGGGTTGCAAAAGAGACAACTGTATGGTTAAGTGTGTCTTCCTGGTCAAAGTCCAACATTTTAACAGTTATAAGTGAGCATTTAAATAGCATTGATGCACTGGGGGTGATGGTCAATTCATTTTTCCTACTCATAAAGTTTCGTTGTTTCTCTGGAGTCCAGAGTAACACCAAAATATTTCAGCCATCTCAGTGGGGCAGAGCTGTGTTTTTCTATTGCCCTGCCCTTTCTAATAAATTTCATATAGATAGCCTTCTAACCTCATTTGTGTAGAAATTCAGTTGTCTGGGATGCTGTAAGTACAACCGTTTCTCATCCTGGCTTATACTCAGAGTCACAGCATCAGAAAATGTGCTGGTCTGGACCATTTTAGGAAAACAGTTTTTGGGATGGAGTAAAATTATGCCCTTTTTGAAAGTGGCTAGGAGAAAAATATTACAAGCAGAACCAGTTTGCTTATAAACCAAATTGACATTCTGGAACCAAGTTGGAAAAATGACCATAGAAATCAGAGAGCTTCACTTTCAGTAATGTTAAAATTCTTGTATTCTGTTTTCCTTCTTTCTCTCTCTCTCATTCCACCCCACCATCAACTTGTTAATGAATTATAGCAGTCTTTTCTTTAGGCTGAATCTGAAAGGGTATGTCTTCTTCGGTCAGGTTTTCCCTACAATAATTGTTCTTTTCTTTTAAGTCAGTGATAGATAATACCCTCTTTATTTTGCTCTTTATTTTTTATTTTCAAAAGCATTCCTGCTAAACTAGCCTTGATGCTTATTGCCATTTTTATCCAATAAACTTCAGATCTGCTCTCAGCTCCTCTAGTTTAGGGATGACTCCCACCACAAAGCCTGAAAAAACTGCAGTAATTGATGTTGAAGTATTCACAAAATAGCGGAAATAAGTGGTGGGAAGACTAATAAGCAGCCTTTGGTTTAAATACCGACATTAATCAGTGTTAAATCCGATATTGCTTTTCAACTTTGTCTTAAGATTTCAACACTATCAGCTCCCCTCTGTGGTGCGTTGAATATGAAATTGCTGCTAATCCAAGTGGATTCTTTTCTTTTTATTAAGCTTCATTGACTTTTTGGTTCTGTGGGTTTAACTCCAGTTGATGCAAGTTAATGGAAACATTTCAGTTTGATTATATCTATTTGAGGGAGAGGTTGGGTTGTTTTAAGGGAATATAATTAGCGATATGGTCTTTTGTGCCTAGCACTGAGTGCTTTGATTAGAGGAAAACTAGCTTGGAAAAGACACTTGGGCATTAAATGTTGCGATTATTATTTTGCTACCACCTGCGATAATTCTTTTGTGACCGCCCACAGCCAATCTAACCAGTTAATGAAGATGTGATCTGTACATCTGTTTTTGTTACTCCTTAAGCAGGTTATATATATATATGAATCAATTAGCTCAGGTGTTCATGGGCAACTTTAACAATGCTTCAGGTTTTGAAGAATCTGAAATTTACAGAATATAAATGAATAACTAGCTATATCCTAAATTTCTTTTAATATAGAGTTTTAGGTGTGGGTGCACATGATTATATGTTAAGGTGCACATGCTTAGATATTCAAAAAGTGTTCATAAGGTGGGATACCTATTTAAAGCAGATTGGTTATTCAACACATAACATAAGAGGAAGGAATTGAGAAGAAGTTTACTTCTGTTAGAATAAATCAAGTGAAATTTTATTGGGGGGGTTGGTAGAAAAAGACATTAAAAGGGATAATCTAGACCTTCTATGCCTCGAAATACCACATCTTCATAGTTCTCCAGAAAACCACATGGTTTATATGGACATCAGAAATCAAGCTTGATTTAAGTGAGTTTTAATTTTTACTATCTTCTCTAAAAAGTGAATGGAAGACAGACTTAAAGAAGGATAAAAATCAATTTCATTTAAGTGGTATTTCTTGTAAGGGCCCTTGAATGTATAAAATGTTTAAAAACTCAGTTACTCAAACACTGGCATTTGTTTTGACTTTGTATAATCCAAGATTTCTCATGATTTTTTATTCTAGATCAGGAGTGTCAAACTCAATTTCATTGAAGGCCGCATCAGCATTGCAGTTGCCCTTGGAGGGGCCAGGGGGCGTGGTTGGAGTAGGTGTGGCCTACTGAGTGGGCATGGCCAGCTCTACATCGTTCACGTCAAGGGTGCCTGTGGGGGCCTGGGCAGGAATGGGACAGATCTGAGGGTCTCTGGTAGAAGGGAGTGGGACGGGGCAAGTGCCAAAGCATGGTGCATTTCTTCATTCCTCACAAAGGGTGACACCTCTCCAGCATGCACCCAGGAAGCGGGGCCAACGCGGCAGGGCTGGTTCCTCGTTGTTTCTGGATGGCCTTGTGGAGCTAAGACTGAATGCATTTCAGCATAGATGGCCACCACAAAATTGTACATTGGCTCCCGGCCAGCCTGGGCCAGAGCCAAGGCAGCGGGGACCGTTCCCTCACTGTTTCCAGGATGGCTTCACGGGCCACATGAAACCACTTCACGGGTCGCATCCGGCCCCCAGGCCTTGTATTTGACATGTCTGTTCTAGATGATGATACAGCACAGTGTCATG